TTTTCTCAGTCTGTTTCTATATGACTTAAATTCATTCAAAAGATTCAAATCATAAGGATATTTTTTGGTTTCCTTATACAATTTTTTTGTTGATGGAGGTAATAATAAAATTGTTGAAAAATATCAAAAAATAATGTATAGCACGCCACCTATCTTATATCATGTGAAACCTGTCTTATATGTATTGCTACCTTGATCTATAAAATAAACTCAGTGGACATCCAGCATTCAAACAATAGCGTTGATATTTCGGCCTATCCCGTAACAGGTTATGGGCCCAGCCACGTGCAAGCGGGTCGAAAAATCGCAGAAGTTTGAAGTAAATACGTGAGTTACTAAAAATGTCGTCAGTTAATTATCTAGCGGGAGTGCCAAAGCTAATTGGCCGCGAGAATTACGATAATTGGGCGTTTGCAATTGAAAATGTGTTCGTATTGGATGGATACGCGGATTGTCTGGTTCAAGGCAAAGAAACAGACAATGACAAAGTGTCGAAAGCTAAGGCGAAGCTTGTGTTATCAATTGATCCATGTTTGTTCGTGCATATTCAGAATGATAAGACGGCGGCAGATTTGTGGGATACACTGAGAGAGCTGTACGGCGAAAAAGGTTTTACCAGGAAGATTGACCTTTTAAGATCACTCATCAGTCTCAGGTTAGATAATTGTGAAAGCATGGAGAATTATGTTACTCAAATGATCGAAACAGCGCAGAAATTAAAGCGTAGTGGTCTCGATGTTAGCTCAGAATGGATTGGTTCACTTCTATTGGCGGGATTGCCAGAAAGATTTACTCCAATGATAATGGCGATTGAACACAGTGGAATAGACATAACGGCGGACGCCATTAAAGCCAAATTGATGGATATGCAGGACAGTGGCGCGGTGGAGAAAACAGGCAGCGCTTTTGTCAGCAAAGGCAGTAGTGGCAGCAGTAAGTTTCGCAAAAATCACAAAGATGGTAGCAGCGGTAGCAGCACAGCTGGGAAGAAGGTCGGTAAAGAAGTCATCTGTTACGAGTGTAAATTACCTGGCCACTTCAAAAATAGATGTCCTACTTTACGCAAGGAATTTGAAAATTTCAGGAAGTCGCAGAAAAAAGGTGAACAAAATAGAGCAGCGTTTAGTGCCATTTTCTTAACCGGAAATTTTAATAGATCGGAGTGGTACATTGATTCGGGTGCAAGTGCGCATTTCACATCACGGAACGATTGGTTGAATGACATTACCGATGATATTGAGTTCCATGAAATTTTAGTGGCAAACGGCGAAAAATTGAATGTTCTGTGTGCTGGAAAAGTTGACTTGACAACTGTATATGATCAAAACAAATATGAAGTTGGAATAGAAAAGGTTTACTTTGTCCTGAAGCTTCCCACCAATTTACTGTCGGTAAGTCAGTTAATCAAGAATAAGAATAAAGTATTTTTTGATGATGATGGTTGCCATATTACTAACCGATTTGGCACGTGTGTTGCAAGAGGTGAATTAATTGACTCGGTATACAGACTCGTTTTTATAAAAACATTCACACCACAGAAAGCTCTTGCATCCTACAAAGTGACAACCTGTGAATTATGGCATAGGCGATTTGGTCATATCAATGATAGAGACTTGCTTGCTATGAAAAATGGAGTGGTGGAAGGACTAGATTTCAAGGGGAGTTCACAGGTCGATGAACTCTGTGAGGTATGTTGTCAGGGTAAACAGTCGAGACTGCCCTTTAAAAATAAAGGTAACAGGGCGACAGAACTACTCGAGATTGTGCATGGTGATTTATGCGGTCCTATGGAGGTTAAGTCAATAGGAGGATCTAGATATTTCTTGGTTCTTGAGGACGACTTAAGCAAAATGGTGTTTGTTTATTTTTTAAAAAACAAAAGTGAAACCCTGGAGAAGTTTAAAGAGTTTAAGTTGTTTGTTGAAAATCAGAAAGGTGTCAAAATCAAGTGCTTTAGAACAGATAATGGAGGCGAATTCTGTAGTTCTAGCTTTGAAAAGTTCTTAGAGACAAATGGGATCGTTCATCAAAAGACCACCCCATATACACCACAGCAAAATGGCATGTCTGAGAGGATGAATAGAACACTTGTCGAGAAAGCAAGGTGCTTATTATTTGATGCTGGTCTCTCCAAGCAGTTTTGGGCAGAAGCGATAGGCACAGCAGTATATCTTAGGAACCGTTCTGTTGTTTCAGGGCTTGAAAATAAAACACCTTATGAAGCATTTTATGATAAGAAACCTAATGTTAGTCATCTCCGTATCTTTGGCACTGAAGTGATGGTTCACATACCCAAAGAAAAAAGGCAAAAATTTGACATGAAGTCTGAAAAAATGTTTTTAGTGGGCTATGGTCAAAATGTTAAGGGCTATAGGCTCTATGATCCTATTAAGAAGGATGTTATCATTAGCCGGGATGTCATCATCAATGAAAAGCGGAAAACACTAAAAACATATGATTTTTTACAGTTGCCAAATACTGAAAAATTATCAGAAGAGAATTTAGCTCAAGTGGGGGAACAAAACAAAAGTTTAGAAATTGAAGATCAACAAGATGAGTACTATGATGTGGCAGATGATCCGAATGACAGTGATTTTGTGCCTGATAGTGTTGAGGTTGTTGAATCAGTGGGTACAATAAAAAAATCTGAAAGACAGAGAAAGCCAAAACAATATGATGATTATGTAACATTTTCATGTCAAAGCGAGGTCAACTTGGATGACATACCAATGTCAGTGTCAGATGCACTTTCAAGATCAGATTCAAGTAAATGGAAACAAGCCATGGAAGATGAGATGTCATCATTTAAAGAAAATAACGCATGGGACTTGGTTGAAACACCATGCAGTGGTACTGTGGTAGAGTGCAAGTGGGTGTTTAAAAAGAAAATTGATCATGAAAATAAGATGTGTTATCGTGCGCGTCTTGTAGCAAAGGGTTATACGCAGCGAGAAGGAATAGATTACGATGAAACATTTTCTCCTGTAATCAAATACTCTAGTTTGCGTTTATTATTAGCTCTGTCAGTGAAATTAGATTTAGAGCTTACTCATTTAGATGTAAAGACAGCCTTTTTAAATGGCCAACTACAGGAAACAGTTTTTATGCATCAGCCAGAAGGCTTTGTCACTGAGGAAAACAAAAATAAAGTTTGTCATTTGAAAAAGGCAATATATGGACTAAACCAATCCTCTCGTGCTTGGTATCAAAAGGTAAACGAAGTGTTGATTAGTCTTGCATTTAAGAAGTCTGATTATGAATCTTGTCTTTATTTTAAGAGGAAAGATACTAGTTTAATTATAATTGCACTGTATGTTGATGATTTTATAGTTTTAAGCAATGATAAATTAGAAACAGATGCTTTAATTAAGCAGCTTAACTCAAATTTTAAGATTAAAAACTTGGGGGACTTGAAATTATGTTTAGGTATGAGAATTCGTAGATGTAAGGATCAGATTAGCTTAGATCAGAATGCTTATATAGATCAGTTGCTTAAAAAGTTTAACATGACAAATTGTAATGCAGTCAGTACACCAATTGATAATTTTGATTTTTCACAATGTTCTGGGGAAAAGATCAAAAATCCTTCATACCAAAAATTGATTGGTAGTTTAATGTTTCTTGCAGTACTAACAAGGCCAGATATTGCATATAGTGTAAGTTTTTTGAGCCAATTCAATAATGACCATAGTGAATATCACTGGAAATGTGCAAAAAGGATAATTAGATATTTAAAGGGAACAAAAGATTTTTCTTTGGTTTACAAAAAGAATAATTTAAGTTTAATGGGTTTTGTTGATGCAGACTGGGGCTCAAATAAAGTGGATCGAAAATCTTACACAGGTTTTGTATTTAAGCTATCAGGTGCAGCAATATCCTGGAAAAGTAGCAAACAAAAGACTGTGGCACTCTCTAGCACAGAAGCTGAGTACATGGCTTTGGGAGAGGCGACAAAGGAGGCTATTTATCTTAGGAATTTGCTGTCAGAAATTCAAGGAAAACTGGATAGCGTTATCTTATTTAACGATAATCAAGGTGCTCAAAAATTGTGTAACAATCCAGTGTTCCATGAAAAGACCAAACATATTGACATTAGGCACCATTTCGTCAGAGAGGCTGTTGAAAACAAAATTGTGAGTATTAAATATTTATGCACTGAGGAAATGGTGGCAGATGTTCTTACAAAGGGTTTAAAAAATATTAAGCATTGTAAGTTTTCAAAAGGTTTAGGTTTAAAAATTTTTTGATAAGTGGGGGTGTTGAAAAATATCAAAAAATAATGTATATGTATCTTATATCATGTGAAACCTGTCTTATATGTATTGCTACCTTGATCTATAAAATAAACTCAGTCGACATCCAGCATTCAAACAATAGCGTTGATATTTCGGCCTATCCCGTAACAATAATCCCTTTTGATATTCATGCTTGTCTTTTTAATTGTGTTCGTGGAATCTTTAGTGTTTTGGTGCATCCAGCAATTTGGCTTTCAATTCTGAATATAAAAAGAACAAAGGCATTTTCGATATTAGGTTCGTTATATACTGCAATCCTATTTTCATTGAATACATTGTTGTTTAGTTTTTCATAATCAATGTAAATTTTTGTATTATTCACTGTTTTTTCAATTTTGGTTGATGTACTTTCAAGATCGATTTTGAGCAAAGTAGGAAAATAATCAGGAATGTTGTATTTCAGAATTGCTGAATATATTTTGTCAAGTTCTACACGTGAATTTATAGACATATGATAATCATGTCCAGCCATTATATTTAAATAATCTTGACAATTCTGATTGTTATGATCTAATCTGTTGATGTTAAGGTCTCCAATGGATAAGTTGACAAATGTTCTACTGCTCTCTAGATAATCATGTAATTCTCTGTCAAATGATGATAAAGATATAGAGGGCGATGTGTATACACCAATGACCTGTATTGTATCCATTTGTTATTTTTATGAAGAATAACGCCGGGAACACACTTGGAGTTTTTTTTATCGGTTTTTTTGCCGTCGACGCCGCTCCAGTAATAGCGGATGGGATCTTATGGCGATGTACACATGCAGCGTTAAAATAGATGATTGTATTTTTCAACGCCGACGGTAGAAATGCTGCCGCCGGCTGCCACTACTGACCGACGGCGACGCGACGGCCCACTCTGGTGGTTGATCATGGCCGACATGGATGTTGTTATTGACAATGAATTGTTGATTCATTGTGTCCAAACAAGGCCTGTTTTGTGGGACAAAACATTGGAGAGTTTCAAAGATCGGAACGTCACAAGGAATGCGTGGCATGAAGTTTGTCTCGAACTGCTGAAGGATTTTGACAACCTGGAAGACAGCAAAAAGAATGACTTTGGTAAGTACAAATAATGTTAATGGATTGAATTGATTTCAAATATATTTTTTTGTAAATTTGTTTCCCTAACAACTATCGAGATGATAGTATTTAATTTATTTTTAATTTATGGATACAAAAAATGAAGGTAACTAAACAAAAGTAACTAAAAAACCAAAATTAACTTAATAAAAGTGAATTAACCAATCTTGATAATGCTTGTGTTTTCTCGTTTCATGAATCGGGGCCCTCAGATCTTTGACATCTACCAAGGAATGCTTCCAACACTTGACATGAAGTACTTGCAGAGAATGTTTCTCACGTTGTTGGCTGTCAAACCTCCTCTTGTATTGCACGGTACTTGAATATCTTCAAGTCCTGTAATTGATGTAGTATCCTCAACTACGTACCCATCTCTATCTCTTACATAATCATGGAGCACAATACAGGCTTTGACAATGTCTGTAGCATGTACATTCAATGGACGGTGGAAAATTCGCCATTTATTACTGAATATTCCGAAGGCGCATTCTACGTATCTTCTTGCTCTACATAGTCTGTAGTTAAACACCTTTTTTTCAACAGTCAAGTGGGTGCCAGAAGGCAGATTTCTTCCGGTAGATTATGTGAACCACTTAGAATTGATTTCCACAGCTTAGTATCCTTGAAAATAGACGAGTCACAGTCTTTTCCATAACTTCCAATGTTCACGTAAGTAAATCGGTACGAACTGTCTGCGATAGCCATTAACACGATTGAATAATATTCTTTATAATTGAAGAACATTGAGCCACTTTCCGCTGGACATACGAGACGGATGTGCTTTCCATCTATCGCACCCACACAATGAGGAAAATTTGCTACTGATTCAAATCCCTTTGCTGATTTTTCCCAGGTTTCTTTAGTGGATGGTGGTATGCATTCACTTTGTAAAACTAGCCACAGAGCTTGACAGACCTCTTTAACAATCAATCTTGCTGTAGATCGTCCAATTCTGTATGAATAATGGAGATCAGCAAATGTGCATCCACTGGCCAAGTACCTAAAAAGAAAAAGCATCATTTTAGTTTCAGTGCAACAATATAGTTAACATGTTGTATGTAGTCAATTTACTTCCTAAGTTTGTTTTACTATTTTTTTTTCAAGTAGAGAAGTGATGGAAAGGTGGAAACATTTACGTGATGCTTTTATCAGATCAGAAAAGAATTTCAAACAATCTAAAGCAAGTGGTTCACAGGCCTCCAAGAGAAAAAAATACATTTTTAACGATGAGCTACAGTTTCTGCGCAAAATATACAAGGAAAGAGAAACAGAAGAGAGTTATGACAACGAAGATGAGGAGATTGCAGGACCCAGTGCTGCGTCAGTACTAACGGAAGTGACTGAAATTGAAGGCTCAACCAAAGCAGTTGTTTCAAAAGCAAAACCGCCTACAAGACAACATAAAAAGATGGATGATGTCGACTTGAAAATTTTGCGGGCAATGGAGCAAACAGAACCGGAAAAAAAATAACGACAAATTGCAATTCTTTGAAAGCTTGCTACCTCATGTAGAGAAATTTGACGACAACCAGTGACTTCAATGGCAAATGGAATTTCTCAGTCATTTCTAAAATCAAAAATTCATACCCCTGCATACCTCAACCCCGCACTGTACAGAACCATTCTACTTCCCAGATCCAGCAGTTTAATCAACAATCCAACCTTACCCAACCTGTCAACTTTCCCTACATGTCTCAACGAGCATTTGCGAATCAAATGCTGTCCCCTCAGTATCTAGCACAACAAATGACCTGCTCCCCTTTCACAAATTTCCAGTATATTTCAAATGAAACCCAGGATAAAAGTTTTGCTTGTCAAATGATCAGGGATGATAATGTTCAGCCTTCTCGCAGCCCTTCTGTAGCTTCTTCATCAACCACAATTGGTTTCACAGAATTGTAATTGAACGTCATCAACTATTGCCAAAAATGTAATACAATGTTGTAACTTATTCTGAGCAGAAATATATAATTTTATAATATAAAAGTTATCTGGTGATTGTATTCTTATTATTCTCAGTTTTACTTACCTTACAGTTATTGTCAGCATTTCCACCGGTTGAATACAATTCCTCATCCTTGTATTTTTCCGTTAGACATGAGTTTTCAGCCGGTTGTGTAGTTCATCGAATGACGACATCGACATCCTGAAGTAATTGAAAAATTTCTTTTCATCGTTTCTTAAATCAGGAAACCAAGTGCAGAAAGCTCCAACTTCCCCTCTCCTTTGATTAATAGGATGCACCCAAATGAGTCTATTTTTTCGCTTCCACTTCAATCGACGACGAAATAACAATAATGCGAGAAGTTCTTCTCTCTTCATGTTAATACACCACAATACAATATGCACGATTAGACACTTGCTGCATGCCGGTCAGTGATCGATTGGCTGAAGTGGCGGTTGTGTCTTGGCGGATATTTTACCGCCCAGTGTGTATGCTATAATTTTGTTACAGTGTCGACGGCAAAAAAAAAACGATCGGAAAAACGCCGAGTGTTTTCCCGGCGTAACTCCTAAAAGTTTTGTTTGAGTTATATTTATAATTTCATAATCAGTGTTCTCTTGTCTTACGTAAATCGGAAACCCGTCATTTTTATTAAAACTACCATCGTTATAATATAAATCATAACTCGGAATTTTAATCAAATTTTTGTCATATACCTTAAATATTTCAGTTCACTATAACATCAAATTTAAAATCTAGTATGTCCATGTTCATTCATATTTCTATGAATGCTCCTTATGTTAGTGTGAAAGATGTTTAATCCTAAGTCAATATTATTAGAAAAACGTAATTTTGGTGTAGGTAAACCGTCTAAAATATGTGTTTTAATTATTTCAGGTCTAAATTCTGTAATGTATTTACTCATACATTTTCTTAGCACTTTAGACAAAAATTGTTGATATATGTCTTTATTGGAGTGATGTGTATCATAGTTTCTATTGTATGTTTTGTATGAATACACGCAGCTGCAATAAATGGGATTAGTAGATTTGTTGCATGAAGTAACATCATGTTCTTCTCCACATTTGAAGCATACTTTGTACCAACTGCATTTCTTACCAGAATGATAAAACTTGAAGCTATTTGTACATTGAGTTACCTCATTATTAAGATCGGCTGATACATTTTGAAAACCAATCAAAATTTTCCGTCCATTATTATCAAATATTTGTCTAAATAGTTTACCTCACACCTCTGCGTAAACTATGTTCATCTTTTTTCGAGGAAGGAATCTAACATAGATGATTTTTGAATCTTCTTTTGTTACAAAGTGGTTTTGTCGCATATCTCTTTCTATTTCACGTTCTTGAAGTTTTTCTTCAAGGTGGTCGCCAACAATCTTTATTTTAGGATTAAACATTTGCGGTTCGGATAATGTATATGTTGATGGTAGAGTCTTTCCAATTTCTTTGTTCAACTTCTTATCGTAGCGGTCTTCTACATATAATTCAGTAGCATCATTCTTCAATTTTCAATGTTGATGTTTATTTTTGATAAATTTAAATTCCTGCTCAGCTCACTCTTAGTTCTGTAGTTAGACTGTTGTTGTTCGGGGGTAATGATAAGTGTTCTGTCTTTACTCTATGATAGTGAATTCATAACTGCTTGGGCATATGTGGAATTTTTCGATGTGGATGTTTCTACTAATTTCTCAATTGGTGCTACTATACAGTCCCTATCGGCGATGTTTGATGAAATAAGAACATATGTTTTTGGAATCGGAGGTTTTACTTAGATAGGTGGTATATAAATGTTTATTTTTCCAAAAGTAATGCTTGACAAGTTTCTAAATCTTTCGTTTTTATCATCATGGTAGAAACAATGCATTGGAACTTTTAAAAACAAATATCTTGAAAACTATTACTATTACAACTATTTTTGTTGTCGAATACGAGAATTTTCGGTCAGTTGTTGTATACATGGTAGCACAAAAAGTTATGATGTTATTTACGGAAATAGTGCTATAAGTGGCGCCCTCTAGAATTTTGGCCATAAAATATATAACGGATTCTTGTTTCTTATACTAGAAAACCTCCCTATACCGAATTTTATGCCAAAATCTGAAATACTCAAGCAATAAGGAAACATAGAAAATAAAATTGTAACTTTGACACCCTGTATCTCGAAAACTATCAACTTTTGGACTAAGGTATATTTAGGTCAATTCACATATTTTGGTCTGTGGTATCTCCAGTTTCGAGAGTTCCCAACCTCTCGCAGACACCATGTATAAAGGGATACTGGTAGTCTTACTTTGACCCGCCAAGAATGGTGACTACAACTATATGTATTCCCTAGATTTAAAACGTGACATTATAAGCAGACTTTGTCATGACATTGGAAAGTCTGACTCTTCTGTACTCTCAAGGTGGGCTATAAATTCTATTTTAAAGTATTCCTATTCAACCAGATTTCTTTGATAGTTATCACTAATGACAAACGAATATATTAATAATTTTCAAATTCAATGTATTAAAACAAGTACTGCTCAAGATATCAATGAACTTAGTTGTTACTTACAGAACCCTGATATAAATTTTAAAACCTACCACATGAACATCAGAAGTATCAAACATAATATTGATTATTTCAAATTACTTTTGAATCAAATACAACACGATATATGAGACATGGCAAGTGAGTGAATTGTCTCTTTTTAATCTGGAAGTATAAACGACACTGTACAACTTCAGTAACTATAACCAAAATGATGGAGTGATTGTGTATGTGAGAAATAATCCTTATTATAGCTATAACATTTTTATTATTGATAATGATCTTAAAGGTATTAATCTAGTAGTACAAATTTTGAGATCCTCGTGCATTTATAAGAAACATAGACAATTTTCTAACTAACAATGAAAACTTGCAAATTAATCATCATATTTTTATAGGTGACATTAACATAAATATACTTAAATATTTTGTTGTGTATTATATGCAATAAATGAAGGATTAATCTCAGTTCAGGCATTATTATCTAACCACTATCATGTGCACACATCGCCCCGACTGGACTTGACATAACAGTGACAGTTGATACAATGGAATGACACTGACATCATCTTTGAAAGGGAGCATAGAGTTATAAGGATACAACAATTTTATCCAGTAATGGTTTTTTATATATAAATAAAACAACACGACATGCTAGTGAAACCTGTATTGACCACTGCTTCATAAAAAACGTTTCATGTAATTTTTACTATATACCTTTAGTTTATGAGAGTAATATTACCGATCACTACTCTATTATGTTACTAATATATTCACAGAACAAGAATCGGACAATTAACATGTCTAAAAATAAAAATAAAACAAAATTCAAGTATGTATTTCATTATTAACACAAAATTAATAACCAATGTTGAAAAGGCTTCGTAGAATGAGCTTTATTTATCAAATACCATAGATGAAACCACAATCATACTAATAAGCAAAATTAAAAAAATAATAGAAAATATTAAAAATAAAGTAAAACTAAATCATAAAGAGAAGCAAATGGATAACTAAAGGGTTGATACGATCCACAAATAAAAAAGAAAGGCTCTATAAATTAATGAAAGAATTACCAAAGAAAGAATAACAGAAAATTATAATCAATACAAAAATAAATTTATACGAGAAACAAAACATACCATTTTCAGAAATTAAATGATGATTTACACGATTCAAAAAGACTATGGACTACTGTTAATGCTATTTTCAATGGAAAGCAACCATCCGGAAATGAAATTACTCAACTGAAAACATTAAATGGGTGGAGTAACAAATGAAAATCAACCAATATGCGATGATATTTGTAATTTTTTTCACAAATGTCGGAGAAAAATTAGCAAATAATATAAAAGGCGACTATTCGTGTCTCTATTGGATAATCAAGTTATCTTTCATACCAGTACGTGTAAACATCTAGAAAAGGGAAAAGTTGACCTTACTGAATAATAGCAGAATATCACCACTTCACTCTTTATTTTGTTGCTTCCTCTTTTTATAGTCACAATGGATGAGATCTCACCTAGGTGACCTGTCCCTTAATCCATATTCAGAGATACTTCTGTCTGTTACAGAAAAAATATCAACGATAAATCAATTCCACCATCATTACCGAGTCACAGTATGATGTTGTAGTATGATTATGTAAAAAAAATATATCCATATCACCTGGGAGGTTACATTTTACGCCAAAGTTTTGTCTCCGCATAGTTTTCTCACCCCCGTTATTGATGATAGAAAACATATAATTTTGTTAACCTCGGCACCACCTATTGTTCGCGTCTGAAACTATGAACTAACAGCCATGTTTTATTCAGTCTGCTTGAAATTACTGGTCTATATTTTTGTTATTTAGTGAATTTGCAGTTCGAAGATAATATGTTTGTTAATGATGCGTTTTCACCTCCGTTTACATATTTTTTTGATAAAAGTAGCTAATTTCTGTTTACTCTTGTTTATAAATATTTACA